TCTCTTTGTCTTTTTACAATTAGTTCTGCTCGAGAGCTCTGAAACAAAGAGAAATTTCGATTCGGTCGAAAAATTTCGCCTAGTGGAAAACCGCCTTAAGTCTTGTTTTAGACATTGAATTTCGGTCGCGTGAAATGCAACTAAGACAATAGATAATGAAGGCCGAAGCTTAATGAGGTTTATTATACACGTCCTAATTACGCATTCAGTAATATTTTTTGTTAATTGACCGGGAAAAGCACGACAAAATTTTGTTCATTTCTCGTTCAATTTTTAACCAAATTCAACCAAATTTTAATCAGTTCTTCCTTAGCCAATGGGAAATGCATTCAAAAAATTTCGTACGGATATGTTTGGTATTTCTTGAGTTATCGTGCTCACAGACAAACACACACACACACATACACACACACATACACACACACACATACAAACCCAGATGATTACATAACCTCCTGGCGGAGGTAATGATTACATAACCTCCTGGCGGAGGTAATGAATTGTAATGCAAACACGGTATAATTATGTTCCATTCATCCTTCTGTGAAATTATAAATAAAAAAGGACATTCTCACAACACTCCTTCCCTGAAGATGTGTCACTAATAACTGGAAAAACTACATAACTGAATAAATTGATCATATTTATATAACAAATAATTTGATTTATATACCTCAATAATTATACTTGAAGCATTTTACTTAACAAATCATATGTTTCAAAATATAGTTTATCGAATATTTTAGTGTCAATGATTATCATAAAAACGTCAATGTTGTGTTGTTAGTATTCAGAATTAATTTATTTTATAGCATAAAGTTTTTGTATTTTTCTTCTCATGAGGAAACGGGCCTAATCATCATACTATCTATGGGAATCACATAGCATTTGGTAAAACTCACAGGATATTTAACTCTGTTGTATATTTTAATTAAAAAATGATAGTCATAACCTGGATCTTATTACTGCCGAGCGCAGCGAGGCAGCATGCTATTCTTGACGTTCTATGGTTTCTGCAGAGTCCACTCGACCCAGTCTTTCGCGCGATCTAAGTATTGTCGAGATCTCAATTTGTGTCTGTGTGTTTGTAAAGATGTCGTATTTCTGGGGGAATAATTAAGCTTCAGGAATGTTTTTTTTTAATATATGGATTTCAACGATAGAAAAATCATCGGGTGATGACTATGTTGTACATCAAAGAGATGTGCATTTTAATGTTCAATCTATAGGAAAGCATGGAAGGAATAATGAGGTGCATTCTGAAAGAATAATGAAATGCATTACTGGAGAGAATTATTTATATATTTCGGAATGGCATTTTGTGTTTGACGAATGTGTAATCTGTATGTATATAGGAACCACAATGCTTGCTCCAAAAAATGGGGATCAATGGGTCATTCCCGAAAACATCCACAATTTCCCCATAGATGAAATCGAAAGTTAACCCCCCTACCCCCCATTGGATGTCTTAGTACATTTATTATTAGTCAGAAGCAAAAACGTTTATCACCTGCCCCACGAACAACAGAAATTGAAAAAGGACAAGTATGGATATTATCTGGATTTTAATTTATTGTACGATCATCCAGATTAAAATTTTTAATTGTTTCTGAGTATAACACCTATATATACTAGTAACTAGAAGTTACTATCTCAAGGTAATTGCTACCGAGACGTGGATGTCATTTGAATGCATTTTGTGAGCATGTAATGTCATCTTCTCTAAAAATAGTTTTGTAATAAATATATGCTGTTTACCGGCAGCGAGGTCCGTATGAGAAAAACTTTGCACGAGGTCTAGAGTAGAAAACGACCCAACTCATCCGGACCAACGCTAACATGTTTATTAAATTCATTAAAATTCCAGTGTTGTATGCGAACTAATATTAATTAATCAACACTTTTCTACTAAAAGGATAATGAAAAAGGTATACGTATGCTGTTTTAAATTTTGTATATTTCTGGGTTTTCCACGATAATATTCTTTGAAAAGTGTGTTTTTAAACACGACTTTGACTTTGTTTAAAATATTTATATCAGTAAAAAATGAATGACACCAGGGCCGAAACTTGAGTGTGGGGGGTGTGACACCCCCCAAAGTACAAATCATCTGGATTGGCAGGGCAATGAAAGATTTTAAATGATAGAATGTAGAGTTACTAAGTAGATTCCAAGGCTTCCAGAGGGAATTGAATAGAATTTATAGACCTAAATTTTACAGATATTGGTAAAAAAATAAGGGTTTCATGCATGTTTTAACAGGAATTTGTCCGAAAAAAAATTTTGATCCTTAATTTAATTGGTTTATGTCCGGAAAAATTTTTTCGCCCCTTTTTGGAATGTCTGGAAAATATTTTCGACCACCTCCCCCCCCCAAAAAAAATGTTTTGCTGCAGGGCATCATCGGCTTTCGCAGGGCAATTCTAGCAGACACCCTCCTAATTAAAAGGGGCTAGTTTCGCCCCTGCATAACACAAATGCATATCTGAGAATATATTCATGCATGACTTGTTTTTCACTGCATTTAAATCTTCTTTTAAGATTCCATGTTTCTATACATGTCAAATTAATAACTTTCTGGCTTAAATTTCAGTCGCATTTCTCAGCCTCAAAATATTGTCAATTCTGGGATACATCGTGCTTATAGTATAACCTCTTTAGAGCTTGATGCAATTCATTCTCGTATTCTGACTATCGTTAGGCTACGTTTGTCAAACATTTTGGCAAATTTTATGGTGTGAAAATTGTTTCACTCCTTGGTTTTGGCGCAAAAATCAGAGCGGGCATGCAGTTGCGTTTCAGAGCGGACCGAATGTAAAAAACCGGATCGCTCTGAAAGGCTCTCCAGGCTCAGCCGATCAGATTGCCTTAAGTGAATTATCATTATTTTCCACTAATATATGCAGTTATACTTTTTCATATAGAAGTGTAAGAACAGTCTGTAGTTCTGATAAATTATGTTTCAAATTATTATAAATGCATGAATAAATGTATATTTACAGATTATTGATATTATTCTAAATTTACTGGAAGGGTTGAATCCGGGTTCTTCCATTATTTAGGGCATTAATTTAATGTATTGTACGACGTTTCGGCTACCTATATACGGCAGCCATTATCAAAATAATAATACTGTAATACGTCTTTGATAATGGTTGCCGTATATAGGTATAGCCGAAACGTCAGAATTGTTATATACGTATAGCTGTTGAAAACTGCGAAGGTATGTAATCGCTCATTCATTGAAAACAAGTAAATTTTAAGGTGATTTTTTAAATGATAATTTACAATTAACTTATGCAGTTAAAAGATGGGAAATGATAGTGACCATGTGTTAATGTTAGTTTATAGATTGTATGCATGCGCCTGCAGTCTAATTTTAAATTTTATATAACCAGACGAAAGTCTTCCCCTAAGTCTAAGAATAATGCCACATGTGAACTTATCTTTATACCAAAAAATATATGCATGCAGAACCCTCGCCTTATTGACAAAACCACTATATTTTCCGAAACATTAAGTATTTAAAGTAGTTGTCATGGTCACACGATATACAGGGTGTCTCAAAAAAACCCAAAATCATTGAAATAACGTATTGTTCGAATTTCAATGCCGTAACACAAAGGATTTTGACAGGGTGATTAATTTGTTTCAAAAAATTAAAATATCTTTGTAAAGTGAACGTTTGTTTGCTCATGGGAATTTAAAAATGCTTCGTAAATTCGTGGGTTTAGTACTTTATGCCTGACATAACAAGTTTACGCTGAGTATTACCATTCATTATAGCAGTTATGTCAATCTTTTATGCACTCGTGGGATTAACTTAGTGCTACGGCATTGAATATCGAACAATACGTCAATTTCAATGATTTTGGGTTTTTTTGAGACACCCTGTATAATTTCATGAAGATTATTTTTACAATTGAAATTTGAAATATACCCTAAAAATATCACTTTTAATTACAAAGTTATCATTTTCCCAAACATATATATGTGAGGCATGTTATTATACGTAATATAAGCTTCAATTTAATGTAAAATTCAGCCACCAAACGCTTCGCAAAACGTTTTAAAATGCTCTTTGTAAAACTAAAATTAACCTTATCGATAAACTTCGAGTTTGAAATAAAACTTTAATATAATAAAATAAAGGGATAATCAATAAAGATACACTGAAATTATATTGTGTCTTTTCTCATTATATGCAACGCCAACGATCAGTTTAATTTAAAGCAATTTATATAAAGCATACAATACATCAATATTTAGAACAAACTTACCTTCATTATTCATTAACGTGGGCGTCTTTGCCCCCTTTTCGTAATTCGTCCGCCTTTTTTCTCAAAAAGCTTTTGAAATTTACAAAATCTTGCAAAATGAAATATATTTGCAAGAAATCAAGAAATGTTTGCCGTTTGCTATTTCGCTGTCGTCTGTCGTCATGCAGTTGTTAGAATGCAAGTTTTAAATTGGACCAATCAGTGTTCGCTATTCATGACAGTCCGCTATATTTTGAGATCAGTGAGAATGACCACCCACACCTATGACCCATGACGCACATTGAATTATAAGTAAACTGGAACGATAAGTTCGCCGCCATCTTTGAAGTCACTTTTACTTCTTTCAAAGCATTTATATTTATCCTAGGGCACACTTAGACAACACAACGTTTATCTAAGGCATATAAAATAAGCAAATATTGTTTAAGACTATGTGCACACGATAACGTTTTCGAGCGTTTTCAGCTGTAACGTTTTCAAAGAGTGTCGTTTTCAAGCCGTGTCCACACGAAAACGGATGAAAACGTCATCTTATGACGAAAACGTTCTCAATGCTAAAAACGTTTTCGGACAAGCGTTTTCACGTTGAAACGCTAAAAATCCAAGCTGGCGGCTTAAAATCAAAATGTTATATTTTTGTTTCCTGGAAGCTTAAGATCTTTCATTGGATCATTAATTCTTAAGTTAAAAACTTTAGCAACAAATAAAACAAAATGTATAGCCTTTCAAATGTATAATGATTTATGAACGATTTAAAATGCGGTTTGCTTTCGAAGAAGCGACAGACTTCGTATCGGTGATGCTAAACAGTACATATAAAACTGTTTACTTTATGATAATGAGCAGAGAACATTTTAAGAAACTCGTTGACAAGTAATGACTTTATCTGGTGGAAAATGAATGGTGATAACAAGCCGCTAGAGATGGAATTTTTATCGAGACAAACATTTGCATCTCGTGAAAACGTTTCCGTGTGGACAGAGCGTCAAACTGACAAAATTGGAAACGACGTTTTAGAAAGGCTCGGAAACGTTACCGTGTGCACATAGTCTAACTGCCGAAATATGAAACTTGGCAAAAAAACGCGCGAGAATTTATGGTTTTTCTGAGTTTTTAGACTTTCCAGACAGAGTTCAGAGACAATTTTATACAATTTATGTAGAAAAATCTTAGATGCGGTTGATAATGGATGTTTAAAATTATGGATTAAATTAGTAAAAATACCTCGTGAAAAATTTTGTGTATTTATTTTCGTATACATACCTGCGAACAGGCTGTACTTGAGCGCCCGAAAATTGGCTTCACCCAAACATAGGAGTTATCGTTCCAGTTTACTTAAGCCTGGTTTCCATTAAATCGTAATTATCGCAAGAACCGCATCGCAAGCGTCGCAACGATTTTAAAAACGCAAAAATTTTAATAAAAACTGCGATTTATTGGAAACTTGAGTCACACTGATAAATAAGACTCTTAGTTCAATGCCCACGCACAGTAACCCACGACCGCGATCATTCATCATTGATGAACTTTAGACTTCGCTAACGCTTTCCTTTTCCCGGGGGTAAACAGCCGGACGGAATTAGTACCCTCGCCCCAGGCTTACGCCCGAACGGCGCTCCGCGCCGTTGGCTCGGGAATAATACGGAGCTTTAGATTTGACTACGACTACGAGTACGAGATTTGATCGCGTGCAAGAAAATTACCGTAGTCGTTTTCGTTTCCATTCAAATGTTGCTTTTATAGCAGTAAACAAACAACGAAAGAAAAAGTTTCATAAACTAAATCTTCTGCAGACTAAAATCCCCTACAAAACGTGTAAACAAGTCATAACATTAAAAACAGGCCGGATATTTAGTACTAATATATTATTTGCGCCGGATAAACGCTATATAAATGCTACAAATTATTTTCGGAAAACAAAAAAAAGCCAACCTTCTTTGTTTTTTTGAAAAGTCGTCGTGAGGACTACGAGATTTCTCCGCAATTTCGTACTCAGATGGGCGACGGCTACGACTTTTTCGCGTCAGTACGGGATGGCGTATAAAGCATACAGCATGCCGTTTCGCTTGACGAATCTCGTACTCGTAATCGTAGTCAAATCTAAAGGTCCAGTTACACGTGCGATTTTTTTCTCGCGCCGGCAACGCAATGGGTTAAATTTCATCGCGTTACTCGCGCGAGTGATGAGATTGAATGCTGTTCTTAGGTTTTGTAATCCAAGTGAGTATATATATACACTTGAAGACCTGACCAGGAACGACTGCGAAAAATGCAGCACAAGGTCCTCTGGTAGGAATTGAACCTACGGCCCTGCGATTCCGGTGC